GTATTACTGAATGTTTACAGTTATCCATGTAGCTGGGCGTGGAGTCATCCCACGTATTACTGAATGTTTACAGTTATCCATGTAGCAGGGCGTGGAGTCATCCTACGTATTACTGATTGTTTACAGTTATCCATGTAGCAGGACGTGGAGTCATTCCACATATTAATGAATGTTTACAGTCATCCCACACGTATTACTGAATGTTTACAGTTATCCATGTGGCTGGGCGTGGAGTCATCCTTCGTATTATTGAATGTTTACAGCTATCCATGTAGCAGGACGTGGAGTCATCCTTCGTATTACTGAATGTTTACAGTTATCCATGTAGCAGGGCGTGGAGTCATCCTACGTATTACTGAATGTTTACAGTTATCCATGTGGCTGGGCGTGGAGTCATCCTTCGTATTACTGAATGTTTACAGTTATCCATGTAGCAGGGCGTGGAGTCATCCTTCGTATTACTGAATGTTTACAGTTATCCATGGAGCTGGGCGTGGAGTCATCCTTCGTATTGACTGAATGTTTACAGTTATCCATCGAGCTTGGCGTGGAGTCATCCCACGTATTACTGAATGTTTACAGTTATCCATGTAGCTGGGCGTGGAGTGATCCCACGTATTACTGAATGTTTACAGTTATCCATGTAGCAGGGCGTGGAGTCATTACACGTATTACTAAATGTTTACAGTTATCCATGTAGCAGGACGTGGAGTCATCCCACGTGTACTGAATGTTTACAGTTATCCATGTGGCTGGGCGTGGAGTCATCCTTCGTATTACTGAATGTTTACAGTTATCCATGTAGCAGAACGTGGAATCATCCCACGTATTACTGAATGTTTACAGTTATCCATGTAGCAGGGCGTGGAGTCATCCTACGTATTACTGAATTTTTACAGTTATCCATGTAGCAAGGCGTGGAGTCATCCCACGTATTACTGAATGTTTACAGTTATCCTTGTAGCAGTACGTGGAGTCATCCTACGTATTACTGAACGTTTACAGTTATCCATGTAGCAAGGCGTGGAGTCATCCTACGTATTACTGATTGTTTACAGTTATCCATGTAGCTGGACGTGGAGTCATCCACCGTAACACTGAATGTTTACAGTTATCCATGTAGCAGGGCGTGAAGTCATCCCACGTATTACTGAATGTTTACAGTTATCCATGTAGCTGGGCGTGGAGTCATCCTACGTATTACTGATTGTTTACAGTTATCCATGTAGCAGGACGTGGAGTCATCCCACGTATTACTGAATGTTTACAGTCATCCATGTAGCTGGGCGTAGAGTCATCCCACGTATTACTGAATGTTTACAGTTATGCATGTAGCAGGGCGTGGAGTCATTCCACGTATTACTGATTGTTTACAGTTATCCATGTGGCTGGGCGTGGAGTCATCCAACGTATTACTGAATGTTTACAGTTATCCATGTTGCAGGACGTGGAGTCATCATACGTATTACTGAATGTTTACAGTTATCCCTGTGGCTGGGCGTGGAGTCATCCTTCGTATTACTGAATGATTACAGTTATCCATGTAGCAGGGCGTGGACCCATACCACATATTACTGATTGTTTACAGTTATCCATGTGGCTGGGCGTGGAGTCATCCTTCGTATTACTGAATGTTTACAGTTATCCATGTGGCTGGACGTGGAGTCATTCCACGTATTACTGAATGTTTACAGTTATCCATGTAGCAGGGCGTGGAGTCATCCTACGTATTACTGAATGTTTACAGTTATCCATGTGGCTGGGCGTGGAGTCATCCTTCGTATTACTGAATGTTTACAGTCATCCATGTATCAGGGCGTGGAGTCATCCTTCGTATTACTGAATGTTTACAGTTATCCATGGAGCTGGGCGTGGAGTCATCCCACGTATTACTGAATGTTTACAGTTATCCATCGAGCTTGGCGTGGAGTCATCCCACGTATTACTGAATGTTTACAGTTATCCATGGAGCTGGGCGTGGAGTGATCCCACGTATTACTGAATGTTTACAGTTATCCATGTAGCAGGGCGTGGAGTCATCCCACGTATTACTGAATGTTTACAGTTATCCATGTAGCAGGACGTGGAGTCATTCCACGCCATTACTGAATGTTTGAGTCATCCCACATATTACTGAATGTTTACAGTTATCCATGTGGCTGGGGTGGAGTCATCCTTCGTATTACTGAATGTTTACAGTTATCCATGTAGCAGGACGTGGAGTCATCCTTCGTATTACTGAATGTTTACAGTTATCCATGTAGCAGGGCGTGGAGTCATCCTACGTATTACTGAATGTTTACAGTTATCCATGTGGCTGGGCGTGGAGTCATCCTTCGTATTACTGAATGTTTACAGTTATCCATGTAGCAGGGCGTGGAGTCATCCTTCGTATTACTGAATGTTTACAGTTATCCATGGAGCTGGGCGTGGAGTCATCCCACGTATTACTGAATGTTTACAGTTATCCATCGAGCTTGGCGTGGAGTCATCCCACGTATTACTGAATGTTTACAGTTATCCATGGAGCTGGGCGTGGAGTGATCCCACGTATTACTGAATGTTTACAGTTATCCATGTAGCAGGGCGTGGAGTCATCCCACGTATTACTAAATGTTTACAGTTATCCATGTAGCAGGACGTGGAGTCATCCCACGTATTACTGAATGTTTACAGTTATCCATGTGGCTGGGCGTGGAGTCATCCTTCGTATTACTGAATGTTTACAGTTATCCATGTAGCAGAACGTGGAATCATCCCACGTATTACTGAATGTTTACAGTTATCCATGTAGCAGGGCGTGGAGTCATCCTACGTATTACTGAATTTTTACAGTTATCCATGTAGCAAGGCGTGGAGTCATCCCACGTATTACTGAATGTTTACAGTTATCCATGTAGCAGGACGTGGAGTCATCCTACGTATTACTGAACGTTTACAGTTATCCATGTAGCAGGGCGTGGAGTCATCCTACGTATTACTGATTGTTTACAGTTATCCATGTAGCTGGACGTGGAGTCATCCACCGTAACACTGAATGTTTACAGTTATCCATGTAGCAGGGCGTGGAGTCATCCCACGTATTACTGAATGTTTACAGTTATCCATGTAGCTGGGCGTGGAGTCATCCTACGTATTACTGATTGTTTACAGTTATCCATGTAGCAGGACGTGGAGTCATCCCACGTATTACTGAATGTTTACAGTTATCCATGTAGCTGGGCGTGGAGTCATCCCACGTATTACTGAATGTTAACAGTCATCCATTTGGCTGGGCGTGGAGTCATCCTTCGTATTACTGAATGTTTACAGTTATCCATGTAGCAGGGCGTGGAATCATCCCACGTATTACTGAATGTTTACAGTCATCCATGATGCAGGACGTGGAATCATCCCACGTATCACTGAATGTTTACAGTCATCCATGTAGCAGGGCGTGGAGTCATCCAACGTATTACTGAATGTTTACAGTTATCCATGTAGCAGGACGTGGAGTCATCATACGTATTACTGAATGTTTACAGTTATCCATGTAGCTGGGCGTGGAGTCATCCCAGGTATTACTGAATGTTAACAGTTATCCATGTAGCAGGGCGTGGACCCATACCACGTATTACTGGCCATGTTTACAGTTATCCATGTAGCAGGACGTGGAGTCATCCCACGTATTACTGTATGTTTACAGTTATCCATGTAGCAGGACGTGGAGTCATCCTACGTATTACTGAATGTTTACAGTTATCCATGTAGCAGGGCGTGGAGTCATCCTACGTATTACTGATTGTTTACAGTTATCCATGTAGCAGGACGTGGAGTCATCCATCGTAATACTGAATGTTTACAGTTATCCATGTAGCAGGGCGTGGAGTCATCCCACAAATTACTGAATGTTTACAGTTATCCATGTAGCTGGGCGTGGAGTCATCCTACGTATTACTGATTGTTTACAGTTATCCATGTAGCAGGACGTGGAGTCATCCCACGTATTACTGAATGTTTACAGTTATCCATGTAGCTGGGCGTAGAGTCATCCCACGTATTACTGAATGTTTACAGTTATCCATGTAGCTGGACGTGGAGTCATTATACGTATTACTGAATGTTTACAGTTATCCATGTAGCTGGGCGTGGAGTCATCCTTCGTATTACTGAATGTTTACAGTTATCCATGTAGCTGGACGTGGAGTCATCCCACGTATTAATGAATGTTTGCAGTTATCCATGTAGCAGGGCGTGGAGTCATCCCACGTATTACTGATTGTTTACAGTTATCCATGTAGCTGGGCGTGGAGTCATCCCACGTGTTGCTGATTGTTTACAGTTATCCATGTAGCTGGGCGAGGAGTCATCCCACGTATTACTGAATGTTTACAGTTATCCATGTAGCTGGACGTGGAGTCATTCCACGTATTACTGAATGTTTACAGTTATCCATGTGGCTGGGCGTGGAGTCATCCTTCGTATTACTGAATGTTTACAGTTATCCATGTAGCTGGACGTGGAGTCATCCCACGCATTACTGAATGTTTGCAGTTATCCATGTAGCAGGGCGTGGAGTCATCCTTCGTATTACTGAATGTTTACAGGGCGTGGACCCATACCACGTATTACTGGTCATGTTTACAGTTATCCATGTAGCAGGGCGTGGAGTCATCCTACGTATTACTGAATGTTTACAGTTATCCATGTAGCAGGACGTGGACCCATACCACATATTACTGAATGTTTACAGTTATCCATATCATGTAGCTGGGCGTGGAGTCATCCCACGTATTACTGAATGTTTACAGTTATCCATGTAGCTGGGCGTGGGGTCATCTCACGTATTACTGAATGTTTACAGTTATCCATGTAACAGGGCGTGGAGTCATCTCACATAGTTTACCTCTTGGTCATGTGAACCAGGCGTCCGACGACGGATCGGAATGCAATCCCTTGCATTGCTCTATTTGAAAGTATTGAAAACTGCGAGAAACAATGGAAGGTAGGCTACTACCTACATGCTCTGGGCGTTGATAGTTTAAATAATGGGTTCCGAGTGGACAAAATACTATGTACACACAGCACTACAGATGCATGTAGAGTTATGAACATTGACCAGTCTACATCTGACATTTATAACAAACTCACAACAGTACCTACCAGTCGAACTCCTCCGCACTGCCTGTCGTGCGATCAGCTTCTCTTGTGTGAAATGTAGAGATCTTTTATAACCTTTGTTACAATATGCGGGGCAGCGAGGTGTGTCCGCCTTAACGCCCGTCTCGGCTGGTATATGCAAGCAAATGAATGCTGTACACAATGGTGTATACAAGCTTAGATACGACTGTAATCGAGTAAACTGGTGTCATAATGTGATAGCGTCGTGTCGCTCTAAAGAACATCCTGGTTATGTTTTTGTCGTTCAAGGCTGTTTCCGTTTGGCGTCTGGCGGACTAGCTGCTATTTTGCAGATTACTAAAGACTGTGTGTCTAGCTGAGGGATATTTCAACTTAGATTATACACATTGTGTCTGATTGAACAGTTATAGTTTATTGTATATTGTTTACGAAATGGTTCTTGTTGAGTACACTCAAACGATGACTAGAGATGTTGTTGACATAAGGGAGGCCTGTGAAAGCAGCCGTATTAGAAGCTAACTGTTCGCCCATGGATTCCTGTCAGTTCTTATCCCGGAAATATAGTGTCATACACAAGTCATACACACCTGTACCCAGCGGACTATCTCAAATCAGCGGGACGAGCGACAAATACAGTCGGTGTCAGCCCGATCTGTCAACAAATGAAAAATAGGATGTTCCTAACCGTCGACAAAACAAAAAACCCGGAGTGTCGACATCGCGTGGTCAACATACCGTGACGGTGTTAGTTAATGAAAGAGAATGTTTGCTTAGTGGTTTGCAAGTGGCTATGGTGGCTACAGCTATGCTCGTATCATGAGTAAATGAATTAAGTTGATTAAAGAGAATGTCGTTTTAACAATTTGCAAGAGAATTAAGGTTGCAAAAACAAACTATTGTTTTACGTTATGCGAGTGGAAGGATTACCATTACCAACTTGAAATCATTTTGAAAATGATGGACACAGAACTAACAATAATTTGGAAGGTTGGCACAACAAAATCAACAAGTATGCCATGAAGACACATCCGAATGTATTTGAGGTTGTGCGAATGCTACAAAAAGAACAGTCAGCTACTGAAGTTAAAATTCAGCAGATCCAAGGACAGCAGAGAGATCCTGTCCGTAGACGTCGCTACCGAATCATCGATGCTGGGATTCAATCCTTGAAGGCCGACCTTCTTGCCGACATACTTACTGATTTGAATTACACAGATCATGTGTCAGAGTTGCTTCATCTTGGCTGAACATTCAGATTACTTTAGTGCAGATATAAAGGAGTTTTGGCAAGAAGAAATATCTGGACTCATCTTTTATATATTTATTACTTATACACCTGCAAAAATCACTTATTTATATTAAACACACACACAAATATATTGTGTGAGCTTTATGAAATAAATATACAAATATGTTATATTGTGTGACATATGCTACATGCATGATACATGCATGTTGTTATATTGACTGAATAAATATATTGTCTACTATATATATCACACTCTGTTTTAATTGGTTTGTTAATTTCGAGAACACTGGGAGTGAAGTCACTCATCACCTCCCTTTTCCCGGACTGTCGACAAGTAATCTGGACGGATTATTTCTTGTTGTCGACAGTCCGGGCATAAACCATACAGTCATACCAAGATGGCCGTGTGATTTCACAGTGGACGTCAGTGGATATGGTATGTTGAAACTGGCTTCACCTTTTCCACACCACAACCATTCAGTTTAGGAGGAGAACATTTACCATACAGATTGCATCGTCTGGCATAAGGACGACATTTCTATCTCTCATTTACAACACGAACTTGAAGGCCTCAAATAACGCAGCATAAATACTGTGATTACCTCCCGACATACTATTGTGTTTACTGGTGATGGAGAGAACCTGAATAATGCCACAATGTTGACACTACCTTAATTGAATGTCCATATACTCTCTATTCCAAGCGTATCTGTTCACTACCTAAGGCAACTGGACAAACTTTCAGACTTGCATATTCAGGACCATTCTACTAATGTTACTGCACAGAAGTGAAGCAAGACAGATTACTGTAAACTATCCCAGTCAGGTGTTTGACCCAATATATGGGTTAACATACCATTGTTATTATCGGTGACTATTGAGGGGAAACAACTATTGTGATAGCGATAGTCTATTGCGACCAATTATTGCAATACTTTTACAATAGTTTTTTCTCCTTGAATTGTCTCATTGGAAGTCATTTCCCAAAAGAGTGTCTATAGTTTACATGAAATAAAAACATGCTGAAGTAGTTTCAATCTCTTTTAATAACTGACAAAAAACTTGAAACCCAGATCAAGTAAACAGTTAAAACATAAACGTATTGTTATTCATAATCTCAAACTCCGAGCCGCATGCCGTGTTTGCCGCTATGTTTGTTTAAGAGGTAACAGGGGCGGATAACTCTAAATCAAAGTGAACGAATCTGGTTCTTCCTGTATTAGGCCAGGAGCCAGGAGCTGGAAATTGACATATTGGTACCACTCAGAGGGACCAAAAGTTTTAGTGTTTTTTTATATTCCTTTATGTCTCTATATATTAAAAAAGTATGATGGACAACTCAATTTGGAAGCTCAAACTCAGAATGAGGTTAAATCTAAGATGGCCGCGAAAAAACCCCAACAATTTCAAAAAATGTCAATTCCAAGCTATAATCATGAGTAAAGTTCAATAAATTGATTGGAAATGAGATTAGGTTGGTGATAATATAATTAAAAGGATTTAATCAATATCAAGTTGTATTATTTGATACCCTTAAATCAAATTTTTTTGTGACTTTGTCAAAAGTGTAATTTCAAAGAACTTTTTCGAAAACTCATCATTTCAATTATTCTAAAGAGAGCTTTTTAATTTCAAAGGGTGAGACCACCTTCAAGTTCCTTAAATTGTGTAGTGATAGTCACTGTTCCACATCATAAACATCAGCTTCATCATCAGTGTTACTTTTCGGCATGTCATGGTCCTCGCATACCATGTTGTTACAAGTCTGGTTCCGACAAGTCACAGTGCATTTCAGTTCATTGGTAAGGCATTGGCAACTTGGAGTTTACAGACTATTGTGCACTTCCAAGTAATGAACTCAAGAACAGCATCTGGAGCATGAGATCTGTCATCCAGAAAATCTCTATGTGACCATTTTGCGCTACACATTTATCAACGGAAGTCAATTACAAAACTATCTATAGTCCCACATACTATCGATTCATCGATCGTTTTTCGTTTCTACCATCGATTAATTTCTATCAGAGACTCAGCAATTGCAATCCATCGATAGTTCGATGCATCGTTACAGCACTAACTGTTATATTTTACGATCACCTTGTTCATTCGAACGTGATTATTCTGACATATAATTTGTTAAGCTGTCTGTGTAAGTGTTTTCTGTACTGTTACTGTGCTATTGATATCCGTAGGCTGTTTAATGCAGTGTTATCTGTAGGCCATATACCGCCATATGGCTGGAATATTGCTGAGTGCGGCGTTAAACAGCAAACCAACCAACCAACTGTAGGCCATATAATGCAGCTTCTTTGAGGGGCATTTAACAGTTGGAGCAGCAAGGGTGGAAACCAATATATGGATGGACAACTTCTTTATTACAATGAGAGCGACGTCTCGATGTAGGTTCTAACACCGTTATGAAACAGGTGCTGAACATAATGACGATAGAGAGGAGATCCGTGTCGTGTGATTATTTCAGAAACTTCTTATATATATATGTACTACTGTACGCTCGGTATTCTCATCACTTTCTATAGTGTGAGGAGATGTCTGTACAGTATATTGAGATTAGGACGGCAATGTAAGCCGTTCAATGCAGGTTACTGTGTCAGTGCTACCTGTAGGCTATGGAATACAATGACTGCGGTAGTGTTTTCTGGGCGCCGTGACATGCAGTTGATTGTATCTATGCAGTTTTTTGGCGTCTATTCAGGTGACTGTTTCTATGCTGTCTGTAGGCCTCTAGGTGCCTGTATCTATGCTGTCTGTAGGCCTCTATTCAGGTGACTGTAACTATGCTGTCTGCAGGCCTCTATTCAGGTAACAGTATCTATGCTGTCTGTAGGCCTCTAGGTGACTGTATCTATGCTGTCTGTAGTCCTCTATTCAGGTACCTGTATCTATTCTATCTGTAGTCCTCTATTCATGTGACTGTATCTATGCTGTCTGTAGTCCTCTATTCAGGTGACTGTATCTATGCTGTCTGTAGGCCTCTATTCAGGTGACTGTATCTATGCTGTCTGTAGGCCTCTATTCAGGTGACTGTATCTATGCTGTCTGTAGTCCTCTATTCAGGTGACTGTATCTATGCTGTCTGTAGTCCTCTATTCAGGTGACTGTATCTATGCTGTCTGTAGTCCTCCCTCTATTCAGGTGACTGTATCTATGCTGTCTGTAGTCCTCTATTCAGGTGACTGTATCTATGCTGTCTGTAGTCCTCTATTCAGGTGACTGTAGCTATGCTGTCAGTAGGCCGCCAGGTAAATGCATCTATGCTGTCTGTAGGCCTCTATTCAGGTGACTGTAGCTATGCTGTCTGTAGTCCTCTATTCAGGTGACTTTAGCTATGCTCTCTGTAGTCCTCTACTCAGGTGACTGTATCTATGCTGTTTGTAGGCCTCTATTTAGGTGACTGTATCTATGCTGTCTGTAGTCCTACATTCAGGTGACTGTACCTATGCTGTCTGTAAGCCTTTAGGTGACTGTATCTATGCTGTCTGTAGGCCTCTATTCAGGTGACTGAATCTATGCTGTCTGTAGTCCTCTACTGAGGTGATTGTATCTATGCTGTTTGTAGGCCTCTATTTAGGTGATTGTATCTATGCTGTCTGTAGGCCTCTATTCAGGTGACTGTATATATGCTGTCTGTAGGCCTCTATTCAGGTGACTGTATCTATGCTGTCT